ATACTGCACCGAACGAGGATACCACCAAGGCGAAATGCCACAGTACGTCTCGAGACCCGAACGAAACTTAGGAGCTACGTGGGCACGAAAATGAATGAAAATTCGACCGACAGCAAACCGTACGCACGTTTATGTTGATAAGAAATTACGACTATCTTACGAAAGGAAATTAAACGAAGTATTGCTCAACGTACAGGATATTGACTATTCCTCATCATTATAACATATTGAACGTTCCCTCGCCACCTCGTATTGGATGTCACCTCTTTATCCGGGTAAAGTCCGAAGCATCCTTCGAAACAGTTCCTTATTTTCTTAACATTAACCAGATAATTCAGATTTGAACGTTCATCGTAACACAACCACATTAAGAAATGAACACAAAACGGATTCGCGTGCGTTGAAGTATTTTTTTCTGGCACCACACCCTTGTGAAGCTAGGTCCTACATTGTTGTCCTAGGATGGCTGTGTGCTTGGGAGGCCTCGAACCCGAGGCCCATTGAATCGAGCTCGCTTCTGCAGTCGTGCCTCAGCGACGTTGGCCACCTCATTTTTACCATTTCACACGCAAGTTCTTATCACAATACTGTCAATATGAACCGGTTTTTGCCTCTGCCTGCGCCCGCAGCGGTGACTCGCGAAACCTTCCTCTCCGGCGCCCGGTGGCGCCGCCGAGTGGCTCCGCGTGAAGGCGGCCCTCAGGAAGAAGTTCCGCTCGTTCGGACGCGCAGGTGCCTACCCTTCCTTGGCGTCCCGCGCAGTCCCGCTGCGTCCGCGCAGCCGGGGGCGGGGGCCGTCGGGCGCCGCGTCGTCCGCAGCCCCCTTGGCGCCGCCCCCCTCAGCCTCGGCACCGCCCTCCATCTGGGGGGGGGGGAGGCTTATTTCTCAGTTTCGAAAGCATCGTCCTCATCGCCACACCCCTTTTTACCTCTTCCAATTGACGGCTTTTGCCTTTTAACTCCAACTGTTTCCGTTTACAGAAATTGTAGAACTCGGTTGTCGAAGTCGCTAAGCAGATTGGCTTTACAAGCATTCCTGACGCTGGGAGTATTTCCGATTTTTGGTCACGGCCACGATTTTTTAGGGTCAGATACGAAAAGCATATTATTCGCAGTCTGCGTGCATACTCGCAAGAAATTCTCAAATGTGGCAAACAATCTGAAGCACGGCGAGGTGTGGGCAACAATGAATTATTAAAATACGCTGCTGGTTATCGTTTTGAACGATATCGACTTCTTAGTGATTTTGAACGATACAAACTCCATTGTTAGAAGATGTAATGAATACATTGAATAGAAAACAAAAATATTTAAGCAACTATTCTTACACTTTAAAAAGCATTCCTGATTCAAAATAAGGCAATTGCCATAGAGCAGTTTGGCTTCATCAAGATCTCAGTCAACTATCAACTATTAAGATTGTCCAAAAACATTCAAACTGTATTTCAAGATAAAAAGTCAGGAGTTTTATTGACATCCAGACTTATGATCGAGTTGACATAAAGCAGTTATTTACAAATTAACAAAGATAAGTACCATACATTATCAAATTCGAATAATAGTCAACTACCTCAACAACAGACCATTTTCAGTCTCCGCCAACAGCCACCTCAAATCGGAGATCAATAAGTGCAAGTTTACCTCAGAGTTCACCATTATCCCACCCCCTTTTTACTTTCTCGTACTGCAATGAAAGATACAGAATTGTAATCGAGTACCGGAACACGGGTAATTTTCAACAGAAAAAATCACAGTGCCCAACCCTGGTAACGAAAAAGTGGATAAACCTTATCCCTAAACTACTTTCTCAAGATTTTGTGTAGTCAGAATCCATGTTTTGTGAGGTCTTCATATCAATTGTATTGGGGGGCTTGATATAAGGGCAAAAAAGTATGTCAGTTCGTCCGTCTACCGTGGCGTACGCTAGCGCCTAACGACTTGACCGATTTTCTCCAAAATTGATATCCCCGATCGATTTAAAGAAACTCGAGGCCCCAAGAAGCTTAGAATGTCCCAGGGGCTTTGTGAAAAATATCTCCAACATTTAAAGATTTTTTTCAAAATCGCAGAGCTCTGAGTCGGGGCAGATCGATCGAAGAAATTCATTTTGTAAAAATTCCTAAAAATAATTTTGACGCTAGTGTTGTTTATGCCGAACAGACGGACGGACGTTTTAAAATAGAAACAACCACGTTTTCGGTATCAGGAAACCCGAAACTTGTTTTACCTCAGAAACCTCGAAATCACTATACTACGTGTATTTCTCCGTATATACGTATGTATAGTAGAAAGTATCAACTTACTTCAACGCAAAACTGGTTTGACTAATGGTTGTGTTTACCTCGAGCGCCGCTGCGTCCCTCGGCGCCTGCATCGCAGAAATGGCTCCGCTCCGCTGCAGGGCTCCGAAGCCAAGCGTCGGGCGTCGCGTTTCTACGGAGACATCGCTGCCCGCGCTCGCGGTGCTCCCCATTGTTGCAGGGCGGTGCACTCTTTTATGCCCCCCGCCCCTCCAATAACACTGGAAGGGTGGGAATTTATTCTATTTTGGGGTACAGGTTTTCTGCAACCGATTAGGCGTATGCAGATAGATAGAACCTAACTTAAACAGGCTAAGCTATATTACCTTAAAAACTAATGACAAAAGCTACTTTGAGAAATCTTAGTTTATACATTTTTTTTTCAAAATTAAAAGTTATTAGAAAATATTACTTGGTCTTCTTTTTCTTTACATTCACACTTCCATTCATTCTTAAACTATATTTACACATTCTCTCACACAGGCACTCAACACTTCACTGCAATACATGGCGGGGTACAGAAACGTAGATCTCCTTTTTAGGGACACCTGACAGGCAGTGTCGCTCTCAGATGTTGGTTGTCTCCGCATTCGATTCACAACCTGAGAAAGGTTTCGACAGCCTCAAAGTGCTGGCAAAACTCGTCATCGGATTTCTGGCGAGGAAGTGCCGATGCGCTTCAGAGAAACTCACCTCAGAGACACTGATTTTCTGGATATCTCATTCTTTTTGGAAGATGGGGCACTTGTTTGAACTAGATGGATGGTCTCCCGTGCAATTGACACGTTTGGGGCCAGATTCGCATTTGGAGATGAGACGGACCACAGACAGCGTGCTGGGTTGCGTCCGTGCAGCGTTGCTGGGTATGGCCGAACCGTTGACACTTCAAGAAGTGCACAAGATTCGGCACATTCTGCTGCACGGGCAGATTGTAGAAACCACACGAGATCTCCGCAAAAGGGGCGCGGTCAAATGTAAGGATAAGCGTTGAGGTTTGATGAGTTCACCATTCACCTTCCGCTGAACCCTGTACACGGCCGTAACCCACTCTGACAGGAAGATTTTCAGGTCCTCGGTTTCAGTGGCGAAATCGCTGTGGTTTACTACACCCTTACATAGGTTTAAGGTAGGAAGGGCCGACAGTTGCACATGGATGTCGGCTACTTCCTTCACTTTCAAAAGTTTGTCAATTTATTCATCAGAACGGCACTCGAAAAATAATGGTTCCAGCGCGTTGACGAACGATGACCTGGAACTTCCCTACTTTCTCCGAGGGCATAGCAAGTATAATCCCGCTTACGCTCTCCATAATTTTTTCCTCTTCGCTGCACGCCATTACAAGAAAGCAAGGTTCTGAGGGCTTGTCACTTTCTCTTCAGACAAAGCTTTCCAAATCCGTTTCTTTCATTCAGTCCCCTCTTCCTTTGAAAATAAGACGGGGGTGGTTTTTGAATCCATGAAAAGGGATTCATCACCGTGGTCTCCACCCATCAAGGAGCCCAACAAGCGGACACTCCGCTGGAGTGCCAGTCTTGCCACGGGGATACAATAGGGAGATGCATGGCTTCTTCTCGCCCCCACACTCGCAAGGGGACACCCACTCACCCAGAAGTTCAGTCAGGGACATAGTCCGATCCGATTGTTAGCTACCGACTGCCCGATTTTAAAAGGTCACGGCTAAAGTCAGAGTATTGGAAGCTGCATGGCGCAGAGACCATCTACCCTCAAGTCATCGGGGCTCGCGCAGTGAACGTCGCTACATCAGGTCTACACACAAGCATCCAACATCCAAGTCTGGGAAACGTGCACTGATCCCTCGATTCCCAGGCTACCCATTCCCGTCGACACGGGTCGCCATGCACGGCGAACACATGAATGGGCGTTCAGCATGCCGGGAAAGCCAGTGACGAAGAAATAGGAGATGATAAAAGAGTGGTGATATATGAAGTAGAAAACAACGCAATAATTAGATGGAGAAAGGAACAAATGAGAACATCCCTACACCCTCCCATCAGGACGTAAACTAACATTGGTGCACCAAAACGAAAGAAAATTGGCGTTGCTCCAGAGCTGATGGCTGTGCCTTGAACCGCCCCGCAGACTCTTCACGAAGCCTTGGTCCCTCCGCTGAGTGACGTCGCCCACAGTAAGCAGCAGTTGGGTGAATTTCTGGGTTCGTGACATACACATAGTCCATGGTTCGTGGAAAGCGACCCACGCACACCATTCAACGTAGGTCAAGATTAGGGAATATTCATTTTGGTAAAATTCTTATGTATAGTTTCGGTACTATTGTATTTTCTAGGTAGGTTGGTAAAAAAAACGCATGTTTAGTAGCAGGGCCCCCAAACGTATTTTGTCAAAATGTACATCGATATTTTTTAGCAGCTCTGTGCAACTTTCTATATAGTATGCAGGGAAGAGTTCATAGCATTAATTTCAAAGTAAATAGGATTGACAAATTTTTAAACATATACAATGTTAAGTTTACTGTGAAATTTCCGCTCTTTTCGTAGATATTTTGTAGCTGTATGGCTGTATTTCAAACGTGTTTAGGGATATTTTGCAGAGTGCTACTTGCCTGAAAAAGAAAGTTGCATGCGTCAAACTTTAATCCACTTGGGTGCCGGCTGGCTCAGAGGAAATTCTGGGCTCCTGTTGCGGTGTTATGAGGGATCAACCTTATAAGAAACACGCTCATTTGTAATATAAGTTAGAAATTTAATAATAAAATAAAAAATGGCGACATTTTTTAGCTCAACTTTCATTAATAAAAAAAACTTATAACTAATTTACAACTGGCCAAAGCGCGATCTCGCAAATTACGAGATTTGAAATCTTTCCTTCAATAATGTATTTCATTCAATGAGATGGCTTGAACGGCAAATATCCGAACCGTTGTTCGGTTTATTACATCACTGCCTCCCAAGAAGTTGCCTGCCTCCAATTTCTTCAACACGGCGGCCCACACACTTCTACAACGCAAATGCGCCTTTATATTGCTCTTCATGTTTCTTAACATACAGCGTAAAATTCCTTAAGCTGATCACTTTATTATCATTACAAACATGAAGTTTAAGTAAATGTTCTAATTCTTAAGTTTCTTGTAAAAACGAGATTTTTTGGATGGCTATTTGATTTCTATTCAATAATCTGGAGCCATAGTATTTAAACATCATTTGTATTATTGGCTTCACAATATGGTGAAGTGTTGGCCTAGAATATTTCCATTGTGTCCAATTCTTCTCAATAGCCAAATTTTAACTGTACATTAGCCTACTAATTTGAACAAGACAATGGGAAGATTTTAGCCACAAATTAAAGAGAATTCGGGAACATTACAAAAAGTTGGGGTGACAGGATTACATATGCTTTTTTATCAGATGAGAAACAATCTATATGGAGCAGATATCATCATTGATCTTTAAATATTGCAACTATTTTACACACATTTTGTAAGGTCCAAGTTATGAAATCCACAGTAATTAAAAATATAAGTATACACATTTCATACACAAAGGCACAAATGATTAAATGTCATTAGTGTACATTTTGTACTTCACTAGCACCAGATCTCAAAGAACATCTTTAATAAAGCGCATGGTAAATCATAATTCGCAACTGTGACTATGTTTCATAAGAAATTTACCCCATTATACCCTGTTCTCGTATCACTTTTTTTCTTACTAAATGTAACTCCATTGCTTTAGTAGAATATAAATCATTCGCTATTCTCTACCAGCAGGAATCTGGGCTGAGATACCACTGACGATACACTTAATCCCTCAATAATACTGAAGACATTCTTAAAATTACATCCCACAGATACATAGCCACATCTATAAATAAGACAAAATATCTCAAATGATACTTTGAAAATATACTTGTCATTCGAAATTAACCATAAGGCTCGTTTCAAATAATCATTCTTCAGGATTTACTGGAGTTATTCCAGAGACTAGTCAATTCTTCAAGGTTTCCATATTTTGAAGGAAATGTCTTGAGATATTCTCTTAATGTCATAATTGTTTTATAAGGATCTGTATTAATATTGTTGAACTAGAAAATGAAAAAACAATGGTGTCAAAATACAATTTTGAACAAAAATATTAATAAATAATATTACAAATAATAATTTGAGGAAATGTAACAATGACTTTATAATACATTCATTTAGAGGGATTATCAAAACAGATGCATACGCGAATGATGTCAACCATGCATCGCATGCACAGCTTAATTATTAGCAAATGTGATAATTTCTGGGCGGGTAGAGGAGTATATTTCAATAAATCAAGTATGAAAGTGACAGACTGCTCTGTGTAAAAGAACCACTATCAAGGTAAGTCTTTTTTCCGCCTAACGTCTACGAATGCTACGCTGATAATATTTTACGTCACAAACAGTGAAAAACTGCGTGTGATGAGCTATGGGGAGAAGTGTATTCTGTGCCAGTGTTTTTAACTCCTGGTCCCCTACCCCTAAGCCATATACAAGTTGCATTCTGTATACAGAATGAAATGAGCGTTATTGGCAAGAACTGTTAGCAAAATATTCGCTCTGATGTAATAAAATCTACTTTCAATGGCAAATCATCTGTAGATTTGGGCTCTTATCACTCATCACGTTCTTCATTAAGGAATAATACTTCCTGACGCGACAACATGGAGAACGATAATTTGAATAACAATATTTCCCAGTGAAATCTACATGTGCACAGATAATGAGGTTCCATTTATATCTGAACGCGAAACAAGGGGCTATCTCAGCATTTGCTCAAAGAATCAGGGAAACTTGACGAAAAACCTGATTGCGATGGTGACCATTAAGCCCCCCCCCCCGAACTCACAGTACTCCCACTCTTTTTAATGGAATAAATGTACCTCTTCACTATGCACATGTGTATTGAACTCTATTTTGCTAGTTGTGTTAGGAGCATAGAGCAAGGATATGTATTCCTTTCTCTATGGTAGGAGAGCCGGGTGTATGAGTTACTATTTTGTTAGCAATACTAAAAATTCAAATCTGTGATTCGTTTGCAGATGCAAATAATTTTTTATAACTCGGGTGCGAAAAAGTTTTCTTTCAAATGTTGCTAACCTCGCTTCATTGGTACTTTTATTCATCATTCAACTGTTTCTGGTTGAAAGGTGGAGAACATATTCCAGATCTCCAAAAAACGTGTCTAGATTATACCCCCCCCCCCCGTACGTGACATACACTTTTTACTCTTTCTTTGACAAGTCAAATTAAATATTTCTATTGCGTGGCATGAATCAACTACAGATGGCGACACGATAGTCTGTGATGTGGTCCGCACTAAAAACACTTAAGCTGGCACACGAAATTTAATTCGCCCTCAAAACGTGCACAGGTGGTATGCACTAATTATACAATTTGATTTAGAGTACATTTAATACAATAAGTAACTTTTCTCCTGAATGATTTTTCTTGGGAGGGTGCTACAGTCCTTAAGGAGTAGCCGCCACTGACCCTGAAGGAATTCTCGAATGGTTAAGTACTCACCAGGTAGAGCTCGAGAGAGCTCACATCATTCACAGCAGACGAGCAATCTCCACGTGTCCCAATATAAACTACAGACGGCAGTGACTCTTCAGGATCACTGACTTTTTCGCCAAGAGCTGGCAATGCTCCAGCCAAACTAAAGCAGTATTTTTCCATTTTGTCTTGGTACATTTTAATAATATTGTACAACAAAGCGAAAAATTCACTTGAAGGTTCGTTACTCAAAAGCCATAATTCATGCTCCCTTCGTGGAACCTGTTAACAAACAACAATGCATCAGTCAAGATAGTGCAAGTTGTTTGTGAAGAGATTTGTTTTTAAGCAGTTATGCACGTGATTCATATCTGAATAAATTGTGTAGTGTATTGACGAAATGAATATCTACCTTCTTCATTCTGTATGCCATTTCATTAACATTGAATCACCAATACATCTTATACAGAATTAACAATATTACAAGTTTCAAAATTACTTACACCAACGACTTTAGGTAAGACAGGATAGTGTACATCCAGGGCGCCGAGGTTACCCAAAATCAGTGTGAGTTCTAAAAGAAATTTAATGCCATGTTTCAAACGGCAGAAGTTCTTGTTCAGGCATTTACTTTCTACACTTCAGACCTTATTAGGCATAAACAGTATAAATTTGTGAGGTTGTAGATCTAAAACTGTAATGACTTTCACAGACTACAGTCTTCGAGCACATTTTGTAGAATACATACGTTCGATCAACACCTGCTTCGTAACCTTATGGCTACATTTTCCAGGTGTTTCCTCTTCTCTTTCACAAAACTTCCACAATATTTCCAACGTATGTAAAGACATTGACACACAGCATTTTAGTGATCATCACCCCAAATTTACAAGTGTTTACTGCTTTTGACCTCTTTTCGTGCTATGAACTGAGTATTACAAACATCAAGTTTGGAAAGTAAATATCGACATATAAACTTTATTCCTCTGACGCAAAATATTGGTACAGTTTGCAAAGATAGTATCGCTTCATACAATAGCAGATTTTCAGATTAAAGCAGTGAAATTTGCAGTTGATTTCTTTCCCAACCCCTCTATTTTGCAAATCATGAAACACTAAACTACTGTCTAAAAAACTAAAAATATCTTACCACACCAGTATCATCTGGAGTCCGAACACAAAAATGTATTTTACACTCGATCACTTATTTTTTTCTGAATTATCTGAAAAAAATTTTTTTTCATTCAATCTTTGTGTGATAACAATGCTATTCCTTCATTTCATATTTAGTTTGCTTTACGAAAATTAAAATGGCGAACAGCATTAATTGACATTTTAAATTACCAAAAGTATGGTGTTAGTTTTGTGCTTAATAAACGACGTAATGAGATTGCATCATCTTGCGATGCCGTTGCAAGTGCCACGTGCGGCCGAGCTGCGATTTCTGCGAAAAGAAGTGGGGTGAGGAATCCCTAGAATTCCCCATGCCCGTGGGAGCCTGCAAGGCTTAGGAGACGGTACAATAATTAAATGCACTACATATTCGTTTACACAGAAGTGCGTTACATATACAATTAAATGTAGTCAGCTTGCACGAACAACTTTTTTAAATTAATTTCCTCTCAGCAAAACACTTCACCTGGCATGGTGTCCACATGGACCTTACTGGAAAACATGCACTCAGTAACAAACTTGCCCAACACGTTCATTAACTCTAATCCCACGCAGTGTTCTGCCAAAACCCATCCCCTTCACCTTCCTTGCGTTCTCTACCCACAACCCCATTTCGAACACTCTGAACCTATTCCCGTTTCTCCTAATTCCACTATCAATTCCTCGCATTTAACGCCCAATTTTCCTTACAATCTTCGACAACGCACTCGTGATAAAAATGGCCCCCTTGTTTTGCTTCTGGACATAAATGTAACTTCATTATCTGTGCACCTTTTTTGGAGTTCAGTGGGTAAATAAAGTTGCTCAAATTATCGTTCTCTCTCGGCAGGATGTCCTCCACGCTTTCTTCACAAAACGTGATAATAACCAAAATCTTAGCTGATTTTCCTTTGCAAATATGTTTTTATTACACTGGAGCGAATTTTTCTTATCAATTCTTGCCAAAAATGCTCATTTCATCTGAATTCAACTTGTGCATGGGTTAGGGTAGGGATCCCAGAATTTCAGAAAACGTGTACAGAACACACTTCTCCATACATCACGTCACAAGGTTTAAACTGTATTTGATGTTAAATAAATACAAATTAATTAAACAATGTTTTACGACTGCATTTGAGCGTCCTCTTCGAAGTACCACCAACTCAGGCGGCAGCTCGGCCGCGCCTATCCGTGCGTCTCGTCTCCGTCAAAGAATTTTCTGGAGGGCGCAGTTTCTTTCAAAACACTTGTCCACAACGTTTGTCGGCGGAAATGAGGGGCAAGCTTATGAGTGTATTTTGCGCGTCTTCTTGGAAATACCGCCGTCCATATGGAGCGGCTCGGCTGCGACAACCCGCGCGACACCTCTCTGTCTCCCCCAGCGGGCTAAGAAAATGACCCCCTTCAATCCTCCTCCTTCTTAACACCCCCGCAACGGCAACACGCACTCCACGTCAACGTCCTCCGACTTTTCTCAACACTGCCTCGACCATGAGCTGGCGCAAGTCGTGGAACGGAGTTTCTTGGCGTTCGCGAGTTCATGTGCAGCACTTCAAACTCCCGCTCCGTCCTCCGTTCTCCATGTAAAAAGGTATCTGCTCCAGTATTCACAGGTGCTGAGGGTAATGAGCATTTTAATTTGAGAAACAACCTTTTCTCACATAACTGAAACAGTAAAATCTCTTTCATTTGATTGATACGATTTTAAGAATTGGAATAACTTAATTAATAGTTCATCGCTCGGGCCCAGCGCACAAGTTGTAAATATAAAATAGGATTATAACTGTTTATTTATTTGCTTTTTTATATTACAAGTTTACATTTTTTTTTAATATTCCAAGAGGTACCATCACTCCTTTTTTACTTTCTTGGCTTCCTAAGAAGGAAGTATATAATCGTGCGCCGGAAAACGAACTTCCGGTAGAAAAACTCTTATCGCCTGGCGCTGGTAACGAAAAAGTGGATACGTCTTTTTTCTTGGGGGCATTGATTCAGCTGATAGCCGGTTACCATTTGCGACCTGATGGGACGCACATTCGACCATACAGTAGACACCACCATGTTGGCGGGTCAAGACAGCTTGTTCATATATCCATATCTATATCTATTTATCTATCTATCTATCTATCTATCTATCTATCTATCTATCTATCTATCTATCTATCTATATATATATATATATATATATATATATATATATATATATATATATATATATATATATATATATATATATCGAGAGAGAGATACACACACACACACACTTACATAGAGAGACAGAGATAGTTAACTAATAGACTCGGCACTGCTTCGCTATTGCAAAGTATTACACATCACACACTATTGGTCACGTGATTGTTAACCTTGTTGCATGCTACGCTATCCACAATTTCTAAAAGATGAAAGACTTTCTTGCAAATATGGGTTTGTTGTACGTCCTGGTTTAGACAAGGTTGCTTACTATCCTACTGTTAAAACGTTCTCCCTCAAATTTACGCATGCATTCTCTATGACACTATCTTGATGAAATTTGATTTCCTTGTCAAATATTCAAGTAATAATTCCGGCCGATATTTCACAATCGCAAAGGCAGAATACTTGTATGCAGTAAAGACGCGCTTAAACCTTTACTGTGCGGTGGATATTACGGTTCAGGGGCACTTGAGCCATAAAAGAATCAGCGGCGTAATCAGCTTCCATAAGGAGTGAGAATACAATGTAATACAATGTCCGGAGCCTGAGAATCAGATCCATTAATAAAAGTAAATACCAGTGTTAAATAAGCAATTCTTGCATACAAAAAAGTTTGTAATCAAATAAACAAATTATTCGTGGATGGTTACTTTAACAGGTTCTTTACATGCGCCTACTGCTTATCGCGATCTCTTACGGCAATCATTGGTAATAATTGGACAGCTGTGTCAAGACCATCTCGAATGGTATATTAGAAGTCCATTATATTGCCATTGGCCACAATTTTTTAAAGGAAGAAGGATGAATAGGCAAGAAAATTTCTGAGAAGTCGTGCACATTTAATCATGGATGACACATAGGCTCCAAGACTACTGGGCCAACTAATTGGATTCTAGAATATACTACAGATCAGTTTTGAATATTTTCTTCATAATCTAAAAGATTCAATCAATATATCATTAAGGAAAAAATTCCCATTTATTATAACAATCTATAGAATATAACTTCTTTCCTTTATAATATATTTCATTTGTTAATATGGTAATGTTTTAGTATATGACTGAATAAAACGAATTATTTCAGCAAATGCTGAAAGATTTTAAAAACAAACATCAGCATCACCTAACACTAAACTATGACCCTCCTACCCCTATGTAACTCAAGTGTAACGCTGCCTCAATTCCCCCCCCCCCCTTCAGCGTAAAGTAATTTATGGACAACCTCTTGGTGAAAATTGTTAAACGAGAACCTACTCAGAAATTTTGAGTAGACTGTTTATAAATGAACGCGTGATCACAGTTATTCAAGAAGTGACAATAATTGTCTACGATTGTCTAATTGCCATTGCTAAGAAATCTCGAACTGAGCAATTTGATTTAAATTATAAGGAGTGATCTATACTGCTGTTGAGTTTGACGAGAAGGTAAAGAACATTAGACTAATTAATGAACACAAGAAAAGCAACACTTCTGTCACGTTTTTTGATAACGAAATAATTATAAACGTTGTCATTGCCATCAACTATTGTTGGCAATGACGTTTATAATTATTTCATGAAAAATGCCAACGATAACGCTCCCCAACACCTATATTTTGATAATGACATTTAAAGTTGGAAAAACTCAAGTATATAACACCTTAAAAACAAAGAAAAATTAAGAATTATTTGTATAGGTGGTTGCCACAACATTCACGAGTACCTAGGTAAACAGCCGAAGCCTAATGAATTCTGTTCCTACAAATATAGAAGAAAATAATATTTCTTTTACTTTTTATGGAATTCTTTGTTTCATCAGACTTCACATTGTGTTTCCATACATCAGTTTCTTTCTCTCTCCCCAAAGTCTTCATTTGTTTGAAACTTAGTTTTGGGGTGAGATAAACTACTAATACAAACTATGCCATCTTTGAAAGATTTTTTTTTTTTGAATTGGCAGTTTTTATTGCAAATCTGAATGAACCGAAAATCTATGCAAGATGGAAGAAAATGTTAGACCCACACAACTCTGACTTAGACAGATTTTACTGTCTCATCTCGGAAAAAAAAAAAAAAAAGAGAGAGAGAGAGAAATCTTCGAGAAGAAATGAAATCGTGTGTTGTATATTTTAACTTACAATTTTATAGAAGAAAAAGTTTAAAAATCTGCGACATCAACGTCAAATTTTCCTCAAATTTGCGTGCATTGACACAGAATGTAATGTACATTGCATGTAATACATGTACAATTTTTGTTAATGTTTCTGTGACTGGGTAAAAATGCCCATGCTCATGCTCAACATGTAGCACAGTTGCAAAACAAGCTTGCTTTTAACTGGAGGTTTATTTTGTTATTATGATGCGTCTACATTTATTTGTTTGTTTCTTGTAACGCATTTGGAGTTATCAATACTAGCAAATAAAGTTTGAATTTTATTGTCAGTTTACATTATTCTTTGTATTTGTGTTGTTTTCATACTTGTTTCTATGAGTTTGTCGAGAATAAATTTGAGTTTTTAATTAATATTTTGATATAAAATTGTAAGTTATAATCAATGATTCTTACCAATGGAGAAATGATGATTGTGTTCCCATATCTCAGTGCAAGGTCAAATGTTTCATAAACTTGGACCACAGCATCCCAATAGTGTGCATTGTGTTTATGCTGAAATGTTCGCACAGCATTTATGACATCTTCAAACTCTCCAGGATAATGCCCTTCCCCTAATATGCCATGAGCATGCACGTGCATTTGACTAGCACCTGCATGGGGAAACATATCCCAGAAGAAAACAGGATACCTGCAAAACCACAACTGAAAAATATTACTTCATAAATTACAAATTCATTTCTATAAATACTAGTAACATGATTGAAATGACATCAAATGAAAGGTGATATATACATTTTTCCATTCCTCCTGCTCAAGAAATCAATAAAAAATTTTAAAATAGGTAGTCCACTATATTTCAAAACTCCCAACAACTTCGAATCAAAATATAATGCTCATTTTGAAATTTTAAATATAGACATATTGTTTGAAAGTCAGCTCATTATTTGAAAGTCAGAAATATCATATTTTGTCAGTAAAATTTGAAAACTTGAAATAGTTCTAAATAACAAAAATTACATTCGGGAAGGGCATTTTCATAGTGCCATTGTTCAGTTAATACATTGCAGATACCAATTCAATGAAAATACACAGTAAAATTCCAACTGACCCATTCAATGATCACACTTTTTAATTTGCAATGTCTTCTCACAAATACTGTCTTCTTGTTTTGGTAAACATTAATCTTGTTCAACATTAGAAGTATAAGTAGAGGAAAAAATTAATGGTTATACAGGAGAACCCAACATGTCAAAAAACTTTATTTTTCAGGAAACGCTTTCCAAGGTTAACAGGTTGACCAAAATTAATATTTTATTTATAATAATGTACTAATCAAACAATATTTTGGAAGGGATATAACTCAAGAAACCAAATTAAGAATACAGACCAATACCAAAACAATAAGATATATTAAAACCAATACTCATGCGTGGCTTACAAGTTTGGACAATAAAAATTAGGGATCAGCAATGACTGAATTTCATGATAATGGGATTTCTCCCTCTTCTTCCAGGAGTCACGCTAAAGCTAAGAAGTAAAGATACTCAAAAAATTTAAAGATGAAGAATGCAGTAGAAAAGATGAAGGAATGTCAGAAGAAAAATATTTCTCATTAATAGATTGAATCAAGAGAGATTTTCAAAGAAAGCGTTGAATTATTAACCAATGGGGTAAAGAGATGTGGTGAGACCTAAAATGAAAAGGTTAGATCAGGAACTCTTGTAGGACTACAAAGCTAGCAGTCTAGTGGGAAACAGGAACAGGTGACATGCATAGCACCCTGCAATATGTGATGATTATTTGCAATAACATAACAAGTCCATTAAAGTGTTTCACAACTATCACCCTTCCTTCCTTCCTTTCTAGTAGGATGTTGCAAACTTTCAATCAAACAAACAACACTATCCCAACCAAAAGTTTATATAAAAAATTTGGAGTTTTCGAGTAAAAATTATTGTTTTTGTTATTTTTTAAAATTCCACATATTCACGCAATATTTCGCAAAAACTACGAAAATTTCAACAAAAATGTGTTTGACCTTATTGAAAGAACTAAATATGTACAACAAATTTTACTTGAAAGAAAAATCTCTATTTTTAATTTTGTAGTTACAGAAAGACATGGAAAAAATTCGAACTTTTGCAATTTTCAAAAATTTAGTTAGCCATGAAAATCAGACCTATGCCATCTTAATAAGTATATTTTACTCAATTCTTACAAGAAATTTAAAGAAAAAATTTGGAGCCATCTTTGAGAAAATTTCGAAAATGTCCGAGGGGCTTCATGTAAAGTACTCTCAAATTTTACATACAGTTTTCAAAATCGCAATGTCTCAAGTGAAGTCCGATCGACTGGGGAATATCCATTTTAGAAATATTGGATCTATTTTGAAATATTATTTTAAGGATATTAATGAACAGTAAAACCTTGTTCTATATGGCAAGTTTATTTGAAAAATTTAGAGCCATTTTTAAGAAAATGATGTTTACATGCTACTGTACATTCAAAATTTGAAGGTGAAAAATTTTGATTTTTGTTTTTCGAAAAAACTCCATAGAAAGTTATTTCAAGAACTTTCAGTAACAAATTCAATAGTGTTTACAAATCCCTGGGAATGTGCATATTAATAGCGTGAGAGATCTCTCAAAACAATTACATTTACACAATTACAAGAAGCAGAATCAGGTGAAAGAGAAGAATAAGAATAATGAGATGTGGAAGAAGCAGGATGAGAAAAAGAAACAGAAGGAGAAAAAAGGAGAAGAGAAAGGGCAACTTAAGTAATTTCTAGAAGTCATTATCTTCTTCCACAAACACTTGAACTTACTTAGCATTTCCATCAATAGAATGTACTTTCTTGAACCACTTTAATGATGTGTTAAACATATCAAGAAATATTTGAATGTCAATGTTGAATATACTATGTTCATAAGGAATAAACAATCCATGCCACTTAGCGAGCTTGAAAGCATTGGATGCACTAACTGAATGCTTTCCCTGAATCCTAAAAAAAAAATTGAGTTATATTATGAAAATTTTCAGCACCACTAATGAATCTTTGTTATTACACAAAAACTAATCTATTATTTAACAATCGACCCATTTTCATAGTTATCATACAAAGTTCATCCTTATTGCATTAAAATTTTCAAAACAGTTAAAATCAAGTTCCAAAATTTTATAGAGTGGAATATGTAACAAAAAGATATTTCAAAATCCTTTCTAAACGAATAATCACACATGCACACACACGCAAACACACACACACACACACAAAAGAAGCAAAAGCAATGTGATTTTATTTTAATGAACTCAAAAAATTAATTGTAAGATGCATACAGCATATTACTCAGGTTTAAAAAAGTTTTAAATATATAAACATAGACCGCAACTTCCAATAGTTTTATTTCCAAGAACACAAATTAATCCCATCTGATAAATGTAACATGTGAAAGCATTCACTGAATCATAAAAGATCGTAAACGCATATTAGTACCTTATTTTTCAAAACTAAACACAAATTAAAGCAGAAGAATAAATCATTCACTACCTTCCAAAAATGTCTTCCGCAGTGGCATTGAAAGGTTTACAAAAATCACAATTTACTTTACTACTATCAGAGATATTTTTTAAATATGAAATTACAGAATTTTGTGATTTTGAAACAGGTCGTTTACTTCTCAAGGGATTGAAGACTGTAGTTCTTTGCATGAGGGTGTCATGTACCATATATACCGTCTGAAAGCCAAGTACCATAAATCATTTATGTTTTAAATATACCATAATAATCACTTGATGTTTTAAATATTGTAAAATAAAACATTCTTTTTTTATTTACAGATGTAAATCAATTCCTATATTTTATTATTTGATTCATTAAATAATGAGAAGATCAAAAATACATTTTACCTGGAATGCTGCTAAATCTAACGTTCTTTTGCCTCCTAACCATGCTGTCATTTTTTTAGAAAAATCTTCATTAAATCGTTGAGTAGCATTGAACACATCTACTTCATACATTGCTGAGAATGCTTTGTACACTGATGAACATTCAGAGTTTGAAAGGCTGTGTAATGTTCTTGTATTACTATGAAGTTTATCTATTCCCATTTCAAAGTGTTTCATCTGACAAGTTTGATTATTTGTCTGAAAAAGGGTGGTTTAAAATCATTTAGGAGATTAATATTAAAATAATTTCGATTTAAATTTCAATAATCAGTAGCATCATTACAAGAAATCTACACAATTCGTTCTGACAAGGGAACAATTTGTTACCAAATATTGTTTTATGTAGTAATGTGGCGTTATTATAACTCCGTGTAAGATTATAAGAGATATTTTCGTTTTAATTTGAATGTACCTTCTTAACCAAGAAATCTGTCCATATCAAATGCCCTCTCATATTTTCACCGTCTTCCACATCAAGCTTTCTATATATCAACACTGTTCCAATAAAAAACAAGGTAAGTAACCATAAAGATGTTTTTCCAAATCGCCTCATTATCCGTTCCATAATACTACTACTCTATTTCTTCACCACACAATATTTTTAAAGTTCACACGTACGATGCGATACGATGGACGAAAACAGTGCAAGTGAAGTGACACTTCGTAATCAACCCGGTAAAATGTTACCACCTTTCAGTAATAAATTTCCTAATTTATGGTGCACAGTTTCAATATTTCGAAAATTCCCTCGCTCTTCTTCCTTTTTCGTAAATCACGCCATTCACATCAATTTTCTTTCTTGTAAAAGAAAATAAAAAAAGAAAATGTTGGCGATGGAGAAAGAGTACAGGTAATTTAGTGCAAAGTTGACATTTCAGCGTACGGCATCTGTTACGTGAGGGCGTAAAGGCAGAACAGCTGTTCCTTGCTGCGTTAGGGTTGAATAAGCGTGACGGAGCGTGACGCAGGGTCACAAGTCCTTTGCCGAAGTGTACGTCGTGTACGTGTAATGAACTAAATACGCGCTTCTCATATAACCAAACGTCAATGAATTTTTAACGTTAACCTTGTACGCCTTATCATTTGTGTTTTTTCTCACGGGAAAGCGGTTTTGAAACACTAGCTAAAGTGTAACAAAGTATTGGCTCTCTTGAGAACACATTATATCAGTGTCCTCAATCATGTGTTATGATTTGTTACAATGGAAAATGAATTAGAGAATACATCATTATCGCAGGCGGAGAAAAAAGAGATTGAGCGTTCTACTCCGGTGCCTAGGAATGATAAGCCAGTTCTTCATGGAGATGTTAAAACTCCAAGCTCGAGTATTTGTGAAACTGAATCAAGCAAATACAGTGTTGGCTCTAACCAGGGTGACACCAATGTGACTCCAAATGCACGAACAGCTCCCACACTTGAAGGTAGATTATTAAAGTTATGTGTTCAGAATTGGCATGTGCATTCATATTTTCATTAACTGTCTTGCCTCAGGTTCACTGCCAATTGCTATGCAGAAAAAAATTCAGGAAATTGAAAATGCACTTTCCGAAGAACCAATAAATAAAGAGGCATTAAAAGAATTGGCTAAATCGGAGGGTGGCCTCATTAGTGGTGAGTGGAATTATATTTTTTCCCTTCTGACATCTGTTTTCATTATTCAGACATCTGTATTCATTATAAATTAACTTGTACATCACAGATGCCCTTCGAAAGAGAGTTTGGCCTCTGATTTTGGATATTGATACAAGACTAGCAACATGTGCTCCCAGCCAAGAAGAACTAGAGGCACACGAAGAGTACAAGCAAGTTGTCATGGATGTGAATAGATCTCTCAAACGGTTCCCACCAAGTCAGTTCCATTGTTCTTTATTTTGTACTAAGCCATTTCAGATTATTACAACTTAAGGTTTTTATGTATTGGTATATATTTTTTTATGTTTTTTTAGACATTCCCAGTGATCAAATAACGTTGTTACAAGATCAGTTAACAAGACTTATCATGCGTGTAATAATTAAACATCCTCAGTTACGCTATTATCAGGTACATTTGGCAACACTTTCTGAGTCTCCTATAGTTCTTTATTCTTATTAAATATGAAAGAATTGAGGTAGATTATTTAATTGTATTTTCATGCAGTATTTTTTTTCCAGGGTTATCATGATGTTGCAGTTACTTTCTTATTAGTTGTTGGCGAAGATGTTGCATTTCAGATCATGGAAAAACTTTCAACTGGTCATTTTAAAGATTACATGGAACCTACTATGGATGAAACCTCATATTTGCTCAATTTTGTTTATCCTCTCATTCAAAGAATGAATCCAGCTCTTTTTGAATACATGGAGAGGTTAGTAATAGGAGCTGTTGCATGAGCAAGAAATATTTAAAATTGTGAAATTCTCATCAATTAGCTCCATGGGTACATGGAGCTTTGCAATAATCTTTGCTTATATATGCTGGTTTTCTTGCGCCCCAGAATAGCTACGGTGCTATCCACATTCTTTCACTCAACCCGACATTAGTTGAATTCAGAATAAATGTTAGCAATGAGCATAGTAGACAAAATTTGATGGCCAGAAATGTTCAGTCCCATGTAAAAGAAATTATTTTGCATCAAAAAATGAGATACAGATTTAATAAAATAATCAAGCATCCCACTCCTCTCACATCTAATGAAGTGAGGGGTTAAGAAAATGTGCACGGATAATATTTCGTGCACTCTGAATTGGAGCATGTTAAAGCACGGGCTTCTAACATTAACATAAATTACTAAATTGTATTCTGTATACTTTTGTAAGCATCCATCTATGGCTTATATTCTTTCTGTTATAAAAGGAAGAATAGCAATTGTTAATATTACATATGTACAAATTATGAAGAAATGGTTAAAGAATGAAAGATAAAAAATATTTATTTTCTATAATAAAAATATATTAATTAGAAAGAGTTGGGAGTACATAGAAGATATTATACATCATTATAGATTTTCTTGGTGCCTCCTTGTGTATGTATAAAACCTGAATTGTAATGTTCTTTCAGGGCAGAGGTTGGAACTATATTCTGCCTAGAATGGCCTCTTACGTGGTATGGCCACAGTCTCAAACAGTATAGAGATATTGTACGCCTCTATGATTACTTTCTAGTATCTCCACCTCTATTACCTTTGTATTTGGCTGCTGCAATGGTTGTGCATCGTCAAGATGAAATATTTGCGGAAGAATGTGATATGGCATGCATTCATAATTTGCTGTCAAAGGTATTATTACTACTATTATTATTTGTTACAAACTTGTGTTAACCCTTTAATTTTGTATCTTATAAACTTCTAAATATTTTTTTTAGATTCCTGATGGACTTCCGTTTGAATCCCTGTTAAAACAAGCAAATTCAATTTATGAGAAATATCCACCATTAAGTATAGAAGCTGAAGTCAAGGAAAGATTTGAAGAAGAGTGAGTATTTATAGTTAATTGTAATATTCTTAATTTCAACGTGGTCCAAAGAAAGGAGTGATGAAGGGATTGGTGTGTTTCATGACCAGATTGCGTAGGAGACGAGGTATTCAAACCCGACCTCGTGCTCCTGTACCTCTCCATCCTCGCTGGCGATGGCAGCAACCATGGAACCGCTTCGTACCACATTGGATTGCAGTACCTGTGATGGGTGCTGGTCCTCGTGTGCGAGTTAGAGTGATTCTTCTCACTGCCACAATGGTTGGACTGTATGCATGGTTACGAATGGCAGAAGCTGTGCCTGTTAATGGATCTTTGTCAGTGAGATAGCACCAACTGGGGGTGCAATAAATGTGTTATGGCCTTTATATTCAATTGATACACATCAAAGCCTAGGAAAGTTTGTTTGCCTTAAAGAGAGTGTCCACATTAAAGAAACACCTACAAGGATCAAGTCAAGTAAGAGCATTGCTTTTAAATACAGTGGTAGGGAGAAGTCTCATGATTGCAATACACAAAAAGTGTGTTGTGCTCTTCACAGAAATAGAAAACTATGTATACATTTGTACTTATTAAAGAAAAAAGTAAGGTTTAAAAGCGATACTGTTTGATTGCCTCTTATCTAATAATGCTTGACTTGAACCTTCTTAATAGTTTGCTGCAACTGATAAGCTGTTCAACTCTTGCCATATCAAAGGAAAGCTTCCCTATTACGTGAAAATGCCTCGCATTTTCCATTACTACATGTGATATAGTGCAAGTTTTTGTATAATGTTTTACTGAATTCCTTGTAACATTCTTTTGCATAGAATCAATATAGACAGTTCATATTTGGCAGGAACATTAAGGTTCCTCTAAATCTTGTGCAATAAGTTTAAGTTGAAGATTTGTTGCATTTTACCTCAGAAATATGATTTTGAGGCTAATTTTTATAATTTTGCATCCTTTGGATTCTGTCCCCTTAAAAATTTCAATGGCATTGAAAAAAAATGAAAGATCAGGTACAAATATTTTATATGACTGTTGAGCTCAGCTAATTTTGTAGTAGATTTTAGGCATATCTGCCATCAGTCCTGTCTTGTGTTGAAGGGAGTATTGTAATTTTAAATCAATATGCTAATGATTTTCATACAGATTATGTTTGTGAGAATAGAAGGAAGGAATGTATGAATGTACTGTTGTTATCATGTTGTATCATAAACAAGAAAATATATTTATGTACAGTTGTTTAATTTATAATGTTCTAAATGTGAGCCCTGCAAAGACATGTAAACTTATTTCACTAGTCTGTAAAGACTGCTTAGCTTTTCAGTGATTTTCCCAAACCAAAAAAATTAAAGGTTATACACAAAATTGATAACTGAATTACCCTTAAGGAGGTTCCTCATACGTACACATAAGAGGCACTTATAGGATTTCAGGAAGTCAGAAAATATTAGCTTGAATAAAATAGGTTAAAAATTTAGTTACATGTAGCTGATAATTCAAATCATACAAATTTTATAGAGCAAATAAAGATTTCCTAAGTAACATTGAAAAGTTTGACTGGAAAAAGAAAATATGAAAATTGATTATTTTATAGTACATACCTATGGCAACATTGATGCATTTTTCCCTTTATATTCCGTCCTAATTGAGGGCCTGGCCTGTGTTATGCATCAGGAGGCCATAGTACCTTGAAGTATTTTGCATTAAATGCTCTATTGTGATGAAGCTGTAATGTAGAGAATTTTATAACCTTTCAAGAACAAGCGGTGTGAGAAAAATTGTAAAAAAAACATTCTACATTTTGTACATGAAAGTAGTTGTGCAAGTAGTTTACAAACAATTCACAAAATTGTGAATTGTGACACATAGTCCAAGAAAGCAAATTTCTAGAATAGAATGATTTTATAAGAACTCTATGAACAATACTTTTCAGTTTAGTAACTTATTGAATTAGTACTGTATCACTTCAACCCTTTCTTACAAGAAATTAAAATTCAACTTGAGAAAGCTAAGTGTTACTGAAACCTCGCCATGTAAAATAAGGCAAATTCAATTCAATTCAATTCAATTCAAAAAACTAAATACAGGAACACGGACTTAAATGAAAACATCAGGGGTGTATTCAGGAATGAGTTTACTTGCAAGAAGTCTGAACAATGTATAATGTTGCCTAGTTTCTGGATGTTTATTTGTGTGCTGGCAAAATATACTGTCATTATGAATTTGTACAACGTAAATATGTTCTAAAAAACTCTCTTTATTCATTCAACAATATTACAAGTTGAAATCAATTCTTGCTTAATTAACTACCAAAAGATAAATGTCACACCACTGAATTTCTATTACTAAAATATTTGTGTTTATCAAATTTTAAAGAGAACACGTACCATCTATGAGGTGTGACTTTCACAATTCACAATATTCAAAATTATATTACTTCCTCCTTGGTGAATGGACAGTCATTAAAAGACAAGTCCTTACACTGAACATTACTAATTTAAAAAAATTTAAATATGAATTCACATTTTGCAGTTAGGTATGAGCTCACTCACTTACCATCAAACTACACTCTAGTGTAAGTTAAGACACATAAGGTTCGAATCTAAAATTCCAGAGTCCAAAGGCAAAATTCATTTCAACATGCAAAAACAGAAATGTTTACTACCTTGGAATACATAAAACATACATCAAAAACATCACAAAAATATCACAATTGTGCAAATAACAAAGAGATCACTACATGTTGGAAGATTTTTAACAAATTAGGTAAAAAGAGAGGAGTAAAAACATTGAATGAACACTTCACATGTGCCAGATTGAGCTTCTCAAAATATCACATGAAACTATTTAAACATTTTCATTTCATATATAAAACAATAACAGAATTTGAAAGATTGCTTATGAAACAATATAATATTGTCAACAAAAGGATATGTTGCAATCCAATTTGCTGTGTTTGTCAAATTACAAAGTTGAACAATTATATTTACTTAACTATTCTGACCAGCAGAGAATAGAAGTAAAGTTTTAATTACATTTTGTACATTAGATACAATTAAAAGTCAATCATGCTGAGAAGATATATCTTATTACACTACGTCCCTCCTTGAGCCTTTTAAATACTATTTCAGATGGTAAAAGATCATAAATTCTTCCTGAAAGTAAAAATTAATCAATCCATATTTCAATTATTTTTTGCTTATTACTTTGTAGATACAATGGTTCCTGATCTTCATTGAATTTCCTCAATGATATATTTATTAACTAGGTAATGTATTAGACACTACGTACATAAATTATCTTTTATGGAAAGTGCTAAGATTCAAACACAAATATGGAACTAAAAGCAAAATTTTTTTAGAAAGTTCCAGTTTGATAACGGCACAGAATAATTTTGTTTGGCACACACCAGCTTTTTGTACTACTTTTTTCCACCTATTGTCTGAATGCACTATTTCAGAAGTGTAAAAAAATAAACAAGGAAATACAATTATATATAATTTATTTTAATCTAGTGTGACAAAGACAAGTTTCTTAAGTCTGCTTTGAGCATTCAGCTTCATTGGAGAGAGAAAATATCCTAACATCTACACTCTTGTAAATAGATGCATCCTCAAAAGAACAGCCTGCATTGTTAAAGATGATGCTGACAAGCTAAATAAATTGTATATATGATTTCATAGACACATGATTGTGAGCAAGTAATATTTAAAACCTCAGCAAACATTGTACACAAAAATAATGGCAAGAATTTATCATTTCACAATACACAGTGTAAAATAATTGACATTCAATAAAGGGTATTATAATAATAAAAGAAAGAATAATTACAATTCAAACATTTCAACTAATTATTTGTTTAAAAAAGGCTCTTGACTATCATATTACAATGAATCACTAGAATTTTTAATCCTGACTTAGTGTATTTACCCGAATATAAGACGAGTGTTTTTCCGAAATATCTCAGTCGATAATTGCGGGATCGTCTTATATACGCAGATTAAGCTTAGTCGTTTAGGATTTACGTTTTTACATTGTCATTCCATGTTACGACACTCTTAAATGTTGACGTAACAATAAACCCCTAAGACTGTAAAAATATCGCGCGTAACAACATAATTATATTCGCGTTCGTATTCTCGGCATACACCGCTAATTTGTCGGGCAATTCAGACTGATATTTTTGAATGAACCGGTAAAGAAAATGTCTAACCGAATGGCAAATGAAACGTAACGTGAAAAGGAATGCCGAGAGATTGTTATACGATGCGCGTTCGACGAGGCCATGCGGAATCTCGGTTCGACGCCCGGCGAATACGAATACGAGTTTTGAACAGGCCATCAATAAGTCCGAGGCGGATAGAAAAATCTGGCGACAGAAGGGAATGTTCATAAATGGCATCTGATGAAAAACTCTGAACAACACAAAATTTCGTCCGCATAACTTTCAAGAGGGCCTAAAACGTCAGAAAATATCACAGCATGGTAGGAAGACAAAAAGAAACAAACATTGATAAATGTGAAGATGATGAGGGTAATGACAAAAACCATGATTATGATATTAAGGAACAAGAAAATAATAGTTCAGCAATAACACTTAACATTCTCATGAACATGGCAATTTTCTAGTCAATGAGACATTTTGTAATTTTAGTTTGACTAAATAGTGAGAATTAGTTAAAAAATTTTAAAATTCTCAGGAGGCCTCTTGAAAATTAGGGAGGGTGTCATATATTCAAGGCCAATGTATATTCGGGTAAATCATTGGTATTTCATTTAAACAGATTTGCAATAATTAATATGCATTAAAATTCCAACTATCCAAAGATTTGTTACAAAAATCTAAAATTATCCAAACTGATTTTGGGAGAGAGGAAACTAAAGACAAATTGTCAAATCACAGTACAAACACACACACTTTACTATTCATAAGTAATAGTAATTCAGAAATATAGTACATCCAATGAAAATTCACTCTTAAGTTGGGGTTTCTTTTTAATGTAAATCCCACCTAAAGTTTTTACTTTATTTTTTTCTTTTATCTTATGTTTATTAACATTAATGCACTAAAGTTGAGTTACATGAATGGCTGCCACTTTTTAACTTAATTTCTGAGCTTTATCCAATCACCTAAATTTGTCATACTCCCATTTAATTTGAATTTTGAATTTTTACTGCATTTAGTTCTAAACAACAAAAAGTGTCCAGGAAGAATCTATGAAAATATGAAATACAAGATGCAGATGACATTTTTTTTATTTTGGTAATTACCTATGTCACATACTCAATCCGACAGTTTGCATTTAATTTTTATTATTATTATTAGTAGTAGTAGTAATAGTAGTAGGTCTTAGAAGCTCAAGAAAGTTATGTACTTTGTATGAATAAATTGATATCAGAATTACATATATAAAGTGATTCTCAAAATAGATTTATATGGTTTCCTATTAAATAACACAATAGTATAAGAAGTACTCATTTCAAAACACCCATACTACATACAAAATATTTTATAAGAGAGTAAGGCCACATTTATTTCCCAAAATTTTGAAAATTAACTAAAAGAGATTTTTTTTTGCTTTAAATTATGTATTCATATCAATTAAAGGAGAAACGGAAGACTTAACTTAAAAAGGAGCACACTGAAGACTGGGATTCATGGTAAAATTCATCCTATATTCTGCACATTAGGACATCTATTCTAAATATCACAAACCTTATTTCAAACTAGAGAGACAAAGATATCAATGTTATATACTCTGGAAAGGAATATACAAAACATATTCCTACTGCATAAATTACTTCACTTTTATGAGCTCAAAAAAATAATCCAAAGCCACTGACAAATGTTCAATAAACAGAAAATACACACACACACACACACAAATACGAATATATTTAACGAAAACTATATAACTACTTGCAAGAATCCTTCTGACTATGCAAACTCTCTATTGTTCAAGTCATGATTCAGTTTACCCATAAAATAAATATCACAGATGGGATAATATAGTTTTTAAATAAGGTGGCAAAGTATGTACATGTCCTTAACTGACAAAAACAACCATCATATTATAATTTGCAGCTTTTTTCCTATCTTGCGTAATTAAAATATACTGTATATAATACTGCACTTATTAGACAAAATTGCTGGATGACTACAACCCTATTGTTTTCTGTGAAATTAAATATTTTCATTCAAAATATAGAGATATAAAACAATCTAATATCATTCCAAGAATGATTTGCCTACGTTGCCGCCATTCTACATCAATTGACTCTTATTTAGGAAGATTTACACAGGATGAAATATTAATATATACCTTGAAGTTAAAATCTAGGTTATCATTTAGCTTTGGATAATTTCTTAAAATGCAGTAACATCTCCATAACAACTCTTAATTCAGCTGCAGTCATTCCTAATTAACTAGAGGTCATCTTTAAAAACGTTGCATAATCAACACAGGGAGGTATTTGGCTGCCACTTTCACACAATACCCTCTCACCTTCACAAAATTTTATGTTTCAATCATTAACCATCTGTCAATTTCTTCATAAGTGTAGTTATGTACTCCAAGACATTCTCATTTCGCAGTATTTCCATGTGGTCTACATTTGGAAAGGTCTGGTGATATATGCGTTGCTTCTGTTGGCTTTCCCAATGCATGCATGCTTCCAAACTGCGTTTATTCACTGTTCCATCTCCGTCTCCAAAAATGAAATTTGGATAACCATCAGGAAACTTCCCAGGTTTATACACAAGTCTAAAACATAACAGAACATGATAAAGATGATGCTAATAGCAGCAGCAACAATAATAATAATAATAAATAATAATAATAATAATAATAATAATAATAATAATAATAATAATAATAATTCATGAAACTAGAGCAATTAAACCATATCAAGAATTAGTACCTTTCTATTGTGTTTACACCAAATCCATGAAGGCAATGAATTTCTACACCAGGGGCAGAGAATTTTGAATCCAATTTTTGCACGTCTTTTCTCATTTCCCATCCCACTTCATAATAAATATCTCTGTGAATTTTAAAATAATAGAGTTTAAACCATAATTTTACAGTATATATTAATAAAAAATAAATTTCCTCAACTTATACTACATTGAAAAATTATTAGGAATGTGGCACTTCGAATGAATAAAAAAGAAAATTATAATATTATTTTGGAAAATGTAAATGTTACCTGAAGAATTCTTCAAAATCATTAACAGTATAATTTTTATCAGGAGTTTGCACCAATACTTCACTGGGCTTCCAAAAAACGCTGGAAGGCATCAGCCAAGCCAAACTCGGTGATGTTATTTGTTCATCCTTCATCACACTTTCACGCAACACATATGATCCTAAATCATCCCCTGGAACAGAATGAACCCTTGACCATGTTGAAATTCTTTTACAGGGTGGTCACTTTTCTTTGGAACAATTTTTTTTTAGTTTCCCAGTCTTAAAAACTTTTCTCTGATGAAATTTGTTATGCATTTCCCACTATTTTAAAAACCTAAAAACAAGGCTTTGGTACCTTTTACTAATTTGTCAGTGCTCTGATTTTGCTGTGAAAGAAACAAAATGATCAATATTTGCTTAACATTTAAAAAACTGCCAAAAATAAGACATGGCCAACCAATATTTTTCAAGTAATGTCTAGTGCATGTTAATCAAATACCTTTGACCATAAGCACTTGCTAATAGATTCAGAAAGAATAAGAGCATGAAGAAGACTCCCACTAAAGGGAACTGCATTCTTAACACAACATTCCTCTTATCGTAACAAATGTGTCTGAATTGGCTTCCTTCTGCAAGAACATGGGGAACAACAAAACTGTCCCATGAATGGAATAGTGTTGTATTGTAGCCTTAAAAAATCAAAGTACTTCGAAGTTTCACTATGCACATCAAATTTTATGATGAGGCACCTGCCTATATGATTAACATACATTTTCTATGCAACCTATGTGACCTACTTTGAGTAATTATTTGTATTTCTAAGGGCATGTCCCATTAATAAATATATAGATAAAACATCTTTGAGCATTTACAAAGTGTTTTATGCCAAATACTTTCATGAACTAAAACTCTCCAATTTTCTTTGGAACTACAAAACATAAAGCCCTTGTTCTTTGATGTCAATCACCAAATTTGTTACGATAAGGGAAAAGAACCACAAACAATAATGAACAGTAAATGGCACATACCAACAAGGTAAACCTTTAGAGCTTTGACAGATCCTGCCCAAGCTCCAGACAATGTAACTAATGCCCGAATGTACTTGTTCTTCCACCGCTGCTTCAAACCACCAAGAAAATGCATAGTCATTGGTGCTCCCATACTATGTGCAATGATGACAACAGGCTTGTTGCCATTTATAGTGTAAGTTTCTTCTATTAAAGCCTTCAGATCAACGAAATATTGTTGATTTTCATCTAGAATCAAGCCAAATCATTTAAAAATAATTTGCCATTTTATTTCGACCTTTACTATCTATTCTTTGTATTAAAGTCATTTCAGTACGGACGTATGAGAAACTTGAATGAACATAAGCACTTAAATAATCCTTTCTTGTTAAGACTATTAAAACCGTATTGCAGTCACTTGTTATTTGCACTTTGCATATTCCTAGTGTTAACAATTAAGTGAATAAATAAAATTACTTAATTTTAAACTGATGTAAGCTTTATTAAGATTCTCACAGTGAACTTGCAAATTTTAGGTAGGATGCGATTTTTTTTTCAGAGAGCATATTCAAAACTCCAAAAGGAATCAAATCGAAAAATTACCGAGAGAAGATCATCTTCACTTATGCAACATTATTTGAATTAATCCTAGGAATACTTTCATGAAGGTTTTCTAATCTAATTTCCAAGAAGTATAAAAACACTTACTGAAAAATGGCACAAACAGACATAATATAAACTCTCAGGGTATGTTGCTGGATTTGCAAAATGATTCGTACAAAATTATTACTCACAAATAAACTGATTATTCTACAAAATGACATTAGTCATGAAAGCAATTTCCAAACAATTATCAGAAATATGAAGGTTTTAAGGAATTCAACTCAATTATTAAAAGAAGTTATTACTTAATATTTACTTTTGGGCTTTACCAGCAGACTGGTATACACATTAACACATTTAGAACTTCAGATTGTATGACATACTGTGCATTTCGTCTCAATTGTTCTCATAAATATATAACAACAATGTTTCAGGAACATATTTCTATCCCCCTTCAGACTATAACAATAAATATTTTCTATTAAAACACAATATTTGGTTTATAAGTTTTCCACCATATTACTCAATACGTTAGAGAACTCACCAGTTACATAATAATAAGAACCATTAAATAAGGTCTTCCATTGATCGTTATATTCTTTATGCTGTAAGTTCTAGCAATAGAACTTGCATCTGGTATAGTTTGGTATGTAACAGATTTTAACTTCAAGAGATCTGAGTGATGGAAGGGGGATGTCATTTAAAAAAAAAAAACAGACTGGGATTTATTTATTTTTCTTCAGATTTTTCAGATCAATTTTTTAAATTAAATCTATATTTTTATCTAAATCAGATTGTTTTGATTTAAGTATGATTTGGTTAAATTGTACGAGATGTTTTACTTTAAAATAAAATCATTAAGTGATTTATTTATCACTAAGTACTTTAAAAGAAGAAAAAAGTTTATTAAAATATCAGTTTTTAAATTCATAATTAAATTATTGTAATTTTATTTTTTTTAAATACAGATACTATATATTTGAGGGGTCTAGTGCAATAACTAACCCACAAAATCTTTAAATTTGATTTACTTATAGTTTTGTGCTCTTGAAACACTTCTCTTGCCTCCACATTGCTAAATAATTTGTGGCAGTCCTCTATTAGTACGATTTAGAAGAAAAGCATTCTTCGTTCAACATTTTTTTGAGTAATACTGCCCCCCCCCCCT